AGAGCAGATGACCTCCACAGAGGTGTTAGAAGAAGCAGAAGGGTTAAAACTCCAGTATGTTTATTGCATGCTGAAAAATGCTGTTTTCTGAGGTATTCTCCTGCACTGCAGGTCCCATTGGCTTCTTAAAAAAACAAACAAACAAACGAACAAAAAAAAACCTAAAAGAAAAGAAAAGAAAAGAAAGGATGCTTTCAGCAAATGAAGGAACAGATGAGTTGCAGGGACTGGCACAGGGGATCTGACCTTGGCACCCTCTGTGCAAGGTCACCATGCTGAGCCCATGGACCACAAGCATTGCCAGGGGATCTGAGAGCAAGAGGCCACCTCTCCACTGCATAACCACCAGGCAAGGGGATAAAAGCAAGAAGGAGATCCCATCCATCTTTTAATAACAAGCATTGTAGCTCTGAGGCCTGGAAGGTGACAAAACCATCACAATAGTTATGGGACATTGCCAGCTAACGTTTGCCATGCTGTGACAGTGCATCCAAACCTAAAAATTTCATCACACAACACCACCCTCAGCCATGGCTCATACCAGGAGAAGAACTTCAGATGAAGGACTTCACAGTCTGCCCTGAAAAGGGTAGAGCTATCACAGGGCTGGTAAGGCTAAGGATTAATTCCTATTTTTATTCTCTCTCACTTGTGTCCTGCGTTTGAACAAGAGTTGAATGCTTGGTAAGATGAAGGGTTCAGCATAGAGCACACATTTCTGAGCTGAGTTATTACCTCTGGTGCCTGGAGCAAAAGTGCCCCCTGGGATGTTTGACAGGATATAATGTCTGACTTGATGATGGAAACAAAAGAAGTCCTCTCCATGGCAGATTTAGTCTCTTGAATTTACTGATAATGCACTCTCTTCCAATAAATCAAAATTCCACTTCACCCACTAAGATGTCGGTTCTGTGCACTGCTGACATACATGGAAATGCAAACCTCCCATAAAAGTGAAAGAAAATATAAGTTATGTTCTGATAAACAAAGAGAGACTTCAGAATAGGGGAAAAAAGCCCTGGTTTATATTTAAAATTAACTCTCTGAAACACGGTAACAGAGAGATTGAAAAAGAAAGAGGAGCTGGTGCAGGGCACATGCAGCTCACCTGGGTAGCTCTGCACTGAGGCTTTGATAAGGGGTCAGTTTTCCCTTTGGTAACCCCTCCTTGCCTTTCCTCCTGCAGCCCACAAAACTCACTACAGAGAGCTCATATTCAGTGCAAGGTCACCCCAGAGAGATCTCCCCCTCCCCTGCCTCCCAGCAATATGTATTAAAATGTCATCCTGGCCTTCAGGAAAAGCAATTTTCTCTGCCTTAGTGTAGGGTAGGTGTGATCCACCAGTCTGGATGGAGACATCTGCATCAGAGCCAGTCCTGCCTGCTATGGAGACAGGAAAAGGCACCTGCAGGATACGATTCACCCACAGCTTATTTAATTTTAGGGCTTTAAATTAGGATGGATGAATTGCCCCTAAAAGCACTTGTTTGTCTCCCTTGACTGTAGTGGAGGCCTGGGGTGATTTCTGGGCTGTGGGGCACCTGCAGAGACCTGAGCAGCTGAATCCTGACTGTGCAGTTAGGGAGAGAAAGCATTTCCTGGGGTGGGGGAAATCCTACACAGGGTGCAAGTGCTCATGCTTTTGCTCCATCCAGATGAGCGAGGATTGGCCAATCAGCTGATATGAAGAGGAGCTGAACTTTCTTTTTGCATCTTTTCCACTTTATGCTGGTGAGCATGGGAAGAGACAGGAGAGAAGGGAAGGGGGTGCTGTGCTTAAGGCACGAGAGCTCATTTGTGATAGGAATTTTGGGAAATAGACAGAAGTCCTGGCCATTCCAGACAGAGCACTTGAACCCTCACAGCTTGCAGTTCCCACATGATGTGTGGCCAGCAGTGAAATCACTGACACGGGCTCCTGCTCTGGCCCACTCCCACTCAGAGTGGAGCCCAGCCCATGTGTGTTCTCAGCTGCATAAAACTCAGATATCTGACCTAAGGTAGGCATTGTGGCTCCCTGCAGAATGCTATTAGCTCCCCCCTAGCCCAGGGAAGGGGTTATCTATCAGCCCGTCTGTTTTAGAGCTCTTGGAATGGGATGAGCATGGTGCTCTCTGTGACTGCCTGCACCTCTCCTGGCTGATTATTCCATTTGCTAAGAAGGATAAATGTCTCTAAATGAAACTCAGCAAAACACTGAGTGCACTTTGAATGCACCCTGTAGAAAGCAGATTGAGGGCAAATTTAGCTCATCCACACACAAGATGGCAATCCTTGCTTGATGGAGAAACCCTTTCTTCCTTCCTCTCATCCCAGACCTTGCAGGGAGTCTGGGAGGTGATGAGGGCTTCCCAGCTCTCAGTGAGGGGAGTCTGGAGCTGAAAGCCCAACAAACACAACAGACTGAAGAAAACCAGGCTGTATTAATTGATCCAGGGGTCTCAGCTCTCCCTAAATCAGCAGTCTGTACAGCCAGCCACAGCCTGCTTGCATATTCTTATATATCAAACTAGAACAAAATGTTGACAGAAGAGCTGAATTTCATGTACTAATTCAAGAAGCAGCCTAGTTGAAGAGATGTCAAATGTCAAATTTAAGTGTCTCCCTTCCTCCAGCTCCTCCATTCCAGTGGCAAACTGGGACACAGTCAGCTTCCCCTGACACAGGGCAGGGTGTGCAGGAGCTGGGGTGATGTGCAGGCTCAGGCTGCTGGCCAGGCACAGCAAAATGCAAAATCCCTGTCCCCTCCACGCACTTGCTTTGTATGGGCAAGGAGCTGCTGTGCGTGACAGATGAGAGCTGCAAAGCAGGCAGGTCAGCACTGTGGTGAGGGTCAGGGCTATTTCCATGGCTGGAGATGCTCTAATTATAGTGTTGGGAGGGCTGGAAGCTGCCAGGTTCGATATGGGAATAATGCGACAAGGGAATTGCAGAGTAAAGACACTTGTTGTTTCGTTCTTGGCTTAACTCAGGGACAAAGCCTTTGAGGAAGGAAAAGCAAATTTAAGGTTATAATTCAGTCCCAGGAACACTGAACATATATATATAATTAGACAGAAAAAAATAAATCAAGGCAGCCTTGTGTTTATTGCACTGGCTCCATCTCCTGTGCTTTTGGCACTGTGTGCTTCCAGCTGAGCTCCAGCCAGTTGCCTGGGTGGTTAAATATCCTTCAGCAGGATAAACAGCTGAGGAAGCTCTGCTGCTCACTCACACAGAGCCTTTGGTGGGTGCTCAGGCAAGTACATGGCTTTATATATATTGTACTACTTCTCTTTGCTAGCTGCTCCACACTCTGCTCTGCCTCACTGCAAAAACTTTCACAGGGCTGCTCTTTGGTGTTAGAGGATTTATAGCAGCATTTCCCACAGGTTTTACGATCTGATTATTCTTAGGGTGCTTTCCCTGGATAGTTGTGAGCTGCACAGCCTGCAGAAGTCTTTGCTTGAAGTGTCTCAGAGCAGACACCTGCCTCTGGTAGCAGGGCAATTTTAGGAGGTGGGATGAGCAGTAAATTGTCCCCAGCACTCAGCTCTACTCTTGTATTTATGAGAGGGCGAGTCACTATACAACCTGGTGCCTCTGTTTCCCACCCAGCCAGATGGAAAAATCAGTACAGTGGCAGTTGCATAAAGTATTCTTGGACAATTTGACCAATACAGCAATCAGAAATGGGAAATAGATTCCTCAATATCGCTCACAATCCACCTCCTGGGACTGGAGCCAGTCTGCACCAGCTTTCCCCGTGCCTTGCTCTTCCAGGGTCTCCCCCTTTCAGAGACCCTCATGCCTCCATGACACACCTCCACCTCTTCTGTGCTTCAGCAACCTCTCCTCCAACTATCTTTTTTCACAAGCTCAGTGGAGCATACTACCTCAATTTTCTTTCTCCCCTTCTCCAGGGATTCCTCCTGTTAATTACTTCAGCTTTGGCAGATCCCCATCCTCTCTCCCGTGCCCACGACAGCAGCCAAGGCACTGCCTGCTCCCCCATGGGTAGCTCAGTCAGTGATTTCCCCCAGCTATTCCTGCTTAGGAGAGAGGTTGTTTATTTCCCTTTTTTTCTGTAGTTATGCAAACATTCACATCATGTACGGTGGTAATTTTTTAATTTTTTTTAATTTAAAAAGTAGGAAAGAGCTGGCAGCCAGTATCTGGTGTAATGCCAGAGCACTGGAGAAGCATTGAGGACAAGTTTTGATCTGTTTACTCTGATACTATTCCTCAGGCAGGGATCAAACACTTAAAATCGGAGACACTGTAAAAAATTTATGGTAAATATAGCTAAAATCAAATACACTGATACCCTTTTATTTTATCCAATACAGGGTTTAGTCAAATCCAAGCCAAATTTATCCCAGATGCAATTCCAGTAAGAGCAGTAAACATTGGACAGAGAGGAACTCAGTTCCTTTGCTTTACCTTACCTTATTTATGGAAACTGAAATACTGCTAATGCAGGCAAAAGGGCAAGGCAGAGACAAGCTCATAGCAATCCCCTCTCCGTGGTCACTGTGGTTATTTGTGCTTTGTTTCACTCAATTTAGAAATTATTAAGCATATTGACTGCAGCTCCATGTTTTGAAATCAAGAATGCAAAGAATCCATTTTTATTACTTTATTAACCTTTTTTATTTAACCTGGTAATAAAACTACTCAGCTGTGTGGTGGAATCTCAATTAAAATTTGCCTCTTCAGGAGCCACAGAGTCAAATGCTCCAGCAGTTATCGAAGTTGGTTTCCCTGTAAAAGCTGTGCTGTGTTATCAGATGCTGTTATTCAGTACACAGATCCCTGCTTTCCAGCAAGCATTGTTCCAGGAGGTGCTTTGAAAGCTTTTGGGCTCTCCCAATGATTGCTTTGCTTTTCTTCCACAGCAATTACAGTCTCTTCATTTAATTTCAATGGAAACTTTAGTGTTTTAGACCTTGCCCATGTAGCTGAATGCTCATCTCTGGATCTTATTTCCAGTCCTCAGGAGGACCGGTTTTGATGACCTAGTCTGATTACAGCATCTTTGACAGCTTTAAAGGAATTTGCCCTGGGGAAGAAGACAGCTGCTGCCCTGATGAGGGATTTTTCTGAGCAGGCCTCCCAAGCCAGACATGTCAGTGTGAGATGCTGCCTACATTTTTCATCGTGACCAACAGGTATGTCTAAAAAAGGTTGTGTGTTCTAGGCTGCCCAGGCCAGTGTGGAGAGAGCCTCTGTTGTTAAACTGCTTAACCTGTTCCTGTCAAAACACTGCAGCTTCTTGGCTTCTTTTCCCTTGTGTTCTATATTCAGCCTCTCTGAAAACTGTGGGCCAGGTCTTTGTGCTGGTGTAAAGTGGCATTGCTCCTTCAGTTTATACAGACTGCAGGGTAGGAACAGTCTCTTTGCCACTGTGTGCAGCTCTCATACAGCTCTGGTCTTAAACAAGGCTGATGAAATTGAGCCCATTATTTATGAACAACAGTAACCCTTATTAGGAGCTGCAATAAAATAACTCATCAGACTTTTTAGAATTGAATCAGTATAAAAGCAATATGGTAATCGGTTCCCCTAGAGCCCATTTTTTCATGAATGTTGAAGAGAAGATTAACAACATTTCAAATCTCAAACAACCCATTTTACCACCAGAAAGGAGATCTGATCTGCTTAATATGGTGTGGATCAGAAAAGCTGCATGTTCCCTTCCTAATGACATACCCAAACCCGGGAATGAAACTCTGTTTTAATCAGATAAAGTACCTAGAATGAATGGATCATAATTCAGATGGGCGTATTTTGCAATAAAAGAAATTGACAAGTACCTGAATTTACAAAGTTCTACACCTTCATCGTGGAGCAACTACTTCACTTTTTGGGGAACAAATAAAGATTTCATATAGAAAGGCCAGAATTACCACTACATGAGCTGGGGTAGTGCCAAGATTTAGGATAATTCATCCCCAAGACATCTTCAGTCTTGATTTTGTAAAAGAGATAAGTAGATGGCTTGGAGTTCTGAGAGGTGTTTGGTACATGGAGCACTAACTTCTCCTCTCCAGTGCCAGCCCATTTCCACCACATGCTGCCTCAAAATCAAACTCTGAACTGACAAGTAAAGGTGACAGCTACTAATGCCACCTGCTCTAAATTCTCCAAAATTTAAATTTCCAAATTTAAATATTAAATTTCCAAAATTAATATTCTCCAAGCTTCCTTTTTCTTCCTCTGTATTTTTTTATTTATGTTTCATATTCCCAGGGGGGGGAAAAAAAAAGAAAAAAAAAAAAGGAAGGAGTGTCATTTTGCTGCTTTGCAGCAATTTGATTTGTATTTGGTAAAGGCAAAGGAGCTGAAGGTGTCCTTTCTGAAATGACAATGGAGAGCACAGAAGAGAGAGCAAGCCCATCAGCTTTGATTAACCTGGCACTTCTTAGTCTAAATCTCTGACTCTGATGATGGCTTACACGAGATCCTCCTGAAAAACACAGACAGAGTAGTGGCACCTGGAGCATCCCTTGCTAATAACCTTGTGATTTGGGCTGTCAAATATACCATTGAAGAAGCTGAAACTATTTCCCAGTTCTGGCATTATCCACACAGCAAGTAACAAACCTTGCCAAAAGCAGGAGTGTCAGGAAAAGGTGCTTCAGATCTACAGAGGTGTCACAAAGGCAGGAGAGAACTTCTGGGAAGGAGGAGTGGTGGTGTCACTTCTCTATCATCTTCACTTTAGAGCTGCAAAGAGCCTTTTGTCCCATTATGCTCCTGAAAAAATCTAATATTTTCTCGGATTTCAAATAAATAGGGAGAAATGTTAACTATAGGTATGAAGTATAGGAACACTGCAGTCTCAAAACTTGCTGGAGCAGGTATAATGCATGAAAGAAAGAATGCAAGACACTGCATTAGTTCTGTCTATCCAAAAGTTTTGTCTTTTTCAGGGAACAGCCATGTAGTCAGATTCAAATAATAGACCAAGAGCTGAGATTCCATGCTTCTCCCTTCAGACACTATTATTTCAGCATCTCCACAGCTGTCCCATGAAGCTTCATTCCTAGCCTTTGCATTTCTCTGGCTTCAAAAGAAAAGGCAAAATAATTTCTATTGTTTCATTGAGGAGTCTGATTGAAAGGCTCATACATTTGAGATGATGAAAAATACACTGATGAAAAAGCTCTGCATCAGAAAAAAACATGCATTTGTTGAGACAGAGATGATTCTGACCAACATATTAATTCAAGCTGAGAGGTTTCCTGGTCCTGGACCAAATTTTCTGTTAAGAATGAAGGAGAGAACTGGGGAGAAAGAGAGACAGCTGAGCTGTTAGAAAGCAGCTAATAAGAAGCAGCATCTTAGGGGATTTGCACTTGAAGGTTCTGATTCAAACCTGTTTCAAACCTACCAGGGGTCAAAGCTGGACCCTTTTTTCCCACTCTACTCTCAAAGCACATCCTGCTCTCAGCTACCCCATCGTAAGACACAAATTGTCGTGGTGTGAGCAGCATCCTGCAACTCTCTTGAAGGAATGCCAAAGGATGCTCTGCTTTGGGATGAAAGCACCACTTAAATATTCAGCTTGCCTCTGCAAAACATAACTGGCTTTCAACCTGACTTATCTGTATAGCCTGATGCCAACAAGTGTACTTTGATGTTCTGCCTGAATTTTCCCTTGCTTATTTGCTTTGTCTCAACTTAAACTGAGATGAAATTGAATATAAGCTCCGGAAGTTCTCATCTAGTTTTGGAAATTGTACCGATTACTTTTTGTTAAACCTATTTGTTTTTCTCTGAAATCACCAGTCTCCAGAGCTTGGAGAGGTAGAGGAGAGAGACTTACATACTAATTAGAAAAACAAATATCATCATTAATAGACTTAACGTTAATGTAAAGCAGTTGCCAATGACAGAGGGATTTGCCACTTTCTTTTTATAATCTTTATCATCCAATATCATCATTCAAATGCTTTCCAATTCAAGCTTTTTTTTTTACTCATTTTACTCATTTTACTCATTTACTCAATCTGCTCTTTTCTCCATTTTTCTGGTCTTCTTTCATTAATCTAATCTAATCCTCTTCCAAGGTGACACCACAAATGTAGCTCAAGTGTATTTACATCAGTGCCCTCAAATCATGTTGTATAGTTGCCTGTGTCTTGGTGCTTTGTGATTCCCTTGGCTCCTTCCCTTCCCACTGCTGTCAGCCCTGCTTGCTGCCCCTCTCAGGGCCAGTTTGGCATTAGCAGCTGCCAGGTTTCTAAAATCCTTTTTTAGGGGAGAAACAGTGGCTCACAGAAGTCAATTGGAGTCTTTTGATACCTTGGATTAAAATAAGACCACTAATCCCCTTTTGAGGCTGTATCCTGCCGTCATCCTAGCTGGATTTTTCCTCAGGTCAAAGCTCACCTAGGAATGTGGGCAGGAAGCCCCAATGAACACAACATCAAGCAGAGAGTGATTACTGCTAAAATAGAGCTCCTGAAGATAATTCCATTTTTCCTTTTTCTAAGGAGCTTTGTTTGCATGCCTTTTCTCTTTCATGCCAGCTCAGATGTCCTCCTGCTGGCCGTGGGCTTCTCATCACTGGTCTCATGGCTGATGGCAGCCCTGCCATCAATAGCAACCCAAATGCTTTAGGCAGAGGCTCCAGTACCACTAGTTTTTGTTCCTAAAATACAATGGGTGTGTAACAAAAGCTGACTCAGAATGACCTCACTCACTCCAGCCCCGTCCATCTCCCACATCCCACATCAACAGGACTGACTGATTTGGAATCAGTGAGCCAACAGCAGATATTAGCATTTGGTTCCTTGGTAACTCTTATTCAATCAATACATGTTTTACATTTTAGGTCCTAGTGACAGGATGATCAGAGCAAATTAGAAAATCTCAGGTGGAATAAACCTAATGGCTATGGGACATTTCTAAAATAAAAATGGATGTTGAATCACAAACAATAGCTTGGCTGCAATCTCAAGAGTCTAATTATGAAATGGATGTGGAATCATTCTGTAATTATTTAGAAAGTTCATTTCAGCAGCCAGAAATTCTCTCTATGTTTACTACATATCATCACAAGTCCTCTGTGGTTATTTGTAACATCTACCCGGAAAGACACATGAATAAGAGAGGCAATTTTAAGCAATGGAGAGAGATCCATGCCTTTTATAAGTCAATGGACTCGTGCCAGGGATAAATTGGGACCAAATCCTTCAACAGTCACTTCAACAATCACTTCCAGTCAGTCCAAATAGAGCAGAGATTTCTCTGCCCTGCACCAGGGATGTTCTCACCATAATGCAAAACCCTACTACACTTCTGCTCAGTGCTTCTATCTTTGTGCTAGAAAAGAGCCCAGTTCAAAATCAGGAAAAACCTGTGCACAATGTGGATCTTAACTGGTGCCACAGCTCCAGGAACACAATCATCACTTTGAAGGACCTGCTACATGGTCCCCATGGTATTCAGTGCTGGTGAGGCTGCACCTTGAATCCTGTTTTCAGTTTTAGGCCACTCACTACAAGAATGACATTGATGTGTTGGAGCAAGTCCAGAGAAGGGCAATGGAGTTGGGAAAGGGTCTGGAGCACAAGACTTATGAGGAGCAGCTGAGGAAACAGCTGCAGTTTTTACTGGAGAAAATTAGGCTCAGGGGAAACCGTATCATTCCCTATAGCTACCTGAAAAGGGTTGTAGATGGGGGTGTTGGCCTCTTCTCCCAATTTACAAGAAATAGAGCAAGAGGAAATGGCCTCAGATTGCACCAGGGGAGGTTTAGATTGGATATAAGGAAAAATTTCTTCACCGAAAGGGTTGTCAAGCACTGGAACAAACTGCCCAGGGAAGCTGTTGGGTCACCATCTCTAAGGTATTTAACAGATATTTAGATGTGGCACTTGGGGACATGGTTTAGTGGTGGCCTTGGACTCACTGACCTTAAAAGTCTTCTCCAACCAAAACAATTCTGAGATTCTACATCTGCAAACAGGGCCATGGCTCTGCCTTCAGAAGGCAGTTCTGTTGTGATGGATCAGATGGCCACATGCAGTTGCATCACCCCTAATGCAATTTTTACAAAGGTCAGCAATGCAGGCCCACAGGCCCAGGTCAGCCTGCCTGCATCACAGGGCTACTTACAGACCTGTGTGATCAATGAAATCTTCCAGCACAGGGTAGTAATAACTAAAGGGCAAAGAGGTCCCACTGGGAGGGTGACCCTGTGGGTCCTTCATGGAGCACCACAGGGACCGTCGATGCTGCACTTTGCACTGATCACAGCTGCACTTCCTTGGGGAAAAACACACTGGATTCACAGCTCTCTGGGCATCACAGGAGCTAACAGATATACAGGAAGGAAAACTTGCTTTCATCCTGGCTGGCTACACACACCAAGTGTTACCAGATCATCTTCCCATTCAGTTTCCATTATATTTTGTGGTTGATCTTTATTATCACAGCTCAACAAAAATGCCTCATTTTGGGTTGACCGCCAGACAACAGATTAATCATGATCCTTCTGGATGTGGAATGGAATCATGCAGCCCAAAGAGCCGGTTTTTGTCTTGAGGCTGGGATTTACACAGTGCTTTCTTTACTGGAAGGTTGAGGAGAAGAAATGGTGCTGTATGAGATCTCATGGGTGTCCCATAACTTCCAGCAGTAAATCTGTTTCTCCAGAGGCAGAAAAAGGAAGGAGGCAACAGCTAATTATACTCTTTGGGGCAATTTGCTGTTTTATTTCCTGATGTACTCCCTGACTAGTGGAAAATCACTCTTGGCAAACACAAAACTTACCCTGCTTCCAAAAGATGCATCTCTAAATTATTAATCAAGAGTACACAGAACCACGAAAGGTGGAATATTGAACAAAGGCTCAATTGACACTCTGGAAGTTGAGGAAGATATGGAAGACTCCCCTCTAATTTATTTATTCCTTTTCTGTTCTGTTATCCTGATATGCTGCTTCCAGTTACCACTGCACCCCGCACTGTATGGTATTACGTGATTTTGTTTTCAGATTGTTGGAGATAAAGTTACTTCATTATTAATATATATGCACTGTGCATATCCATAAATATTGAATATATACGTGTGTGTGTGTAAACCTACTGGAAGTGTTAATAGTTAAGATAAACGAAGTCCATTATTGCAATGAGTGACTATTTCTATGACCCTATTTGCAATAAAAGCAGATTCAATGATATGAGAAAATTGCTAGGTTTCAGAATAATTGAACCAGGCCAGACGAATCCCCACAAAGGCATCATTTACAAAGTACTTTGCTTGTCTAAAATATTTATTCCCACAGAAGGAAATGGAAAAAGAGTTCATATGGTTACATGGCTATCCTCTGAGTGTAAAATTGTTTTATCATGTTATGTTTATTTCCTAGACATCTTCCACTGGGGTATTGCAGAAAAAATACTGGCTGTGCAGTTAATTCCTTTGTGTGGACTGTTCATACTTATTCTCTGGGAAGTCAATCATGTTTTGTTTAGGCATGTTTTGTTTTTCTGCTGAGCAAACACTTAAGCAACCCTTTTCTTGTAAAAACTTATTTGCATATACAATGTGCACTATTCAATGTCACTGCTACACAGAGATTTGAAATGTTTTTGCTTTCCCTCCTATGTACAGCAGGAAGTAGTGGATTTCTTGATTAAAATGTTGGTGTTGCTCTTTAAGACTGCAGTATATTGTTCGTGTTTAAGGGCAGTAGTTATAACCAGTTATAATCAGTAGTTATGGATAATTTTACTTTGTCTTTTATTGAAAGCTTGGATAGATTTTTACTATTAAATGTTCACAGCAAAATTATTCCAAGCAATCTACAGACAAAGAATTACTCCCAGCAATTATCCACTGAATAAATCTGAATAATGAATACATTCACGAAAGTCACTATCTATTTGTGAACAATTAACTGAAAGAAATAGAGGTGACACTCACAAGCTAAATAATTCATTTATGAATTATTTGTCCAGCTTTGTTTCTGACGTACGTTGCATGAAATGAGATCAAAGCTTAGATAAAAAATGACTTTAAAAAGAAGGGCAATAAAACAGGAAATTCTTACAGCTTCTAATGCAGGAATCTAGTAGCTATTCTTTATTAAATAATAATAGTGGCTAGAGAAGTTATTTTCCTGGATTCTTTTACTTTGAGCATTGCGCTGTGTTTTATTCTTAACATATATTCAATTTTAGATTGTCAAACTACAATCAAAAGCACTTAGTACGAATGGAACTGTCCCTGTCATGAGATTTGAACTCCTGGCATCTTTATCCACTGAAACTTGAGTGCCCAGGTAACTACTAATTATTCAAGCATTTACAACCGTTACTATCAATATAATTAGCACATCTTGAGATAAAAGTGAGAATGTCACTGTGAAATTATCATTCCTGGCATTTAGATAGCAATCTTTCATGAAAACACTTATAAGCTGTCCAATTATTTTTCAATCAAATGAACTAAAAAAAGGGTTACATTTAAGGGCAATCTAGAACTGAAAAGCATCAAAATTTATAAATGTTGTCTCCATATGTCCATTTCTTGAATATAACAAATCTCATCAACTTCTGAATTGGTAGTTTTTGGGGAGTTTTGGGGTTTTTTCGAGAAATTACCAAAATATCTTTGACCAAATACTTAGAAAAGTGTGAAACCTTCCTCTGAAAAAAGCCAGGTTCAGTGAAAAAGAAATGAATAAGGTTTTTCAGTCATATCTAAAAGCTGACAAGTGAGTTGTCCTGCTCTGCAGGAATAAAAGGCTGCACAAGACCTTCTTATGTGCCTTGCTGTGTGACACTAATAAAAATAAATGAGACAATTCCCATGGAACAAAGTCAAAGCTAGATGAGGACTGGAGTCCTAGCCCCACCCTCATCAGTTTTGCTGGCCAAAACAGGCAGGTAAATTCCTTCTCACATGAATTACTAGTAAGTGATTACCACAAAAGGAGGAAGGAGGAGCCAGAGAAGTCAGGGACCATGGTTTGTTTGACAGGTTTGATCACTTTTCTGTCTAGGATCTACTGTGAACAAAATTTTAAAGACTGTCTTTTCCCCACCCAAAGCCATCCTAGATATCCTGAAATAACTTCTGTGGAACACTTGCAGGAGGCAGCAGAGAGGGGATTGGGGGAGAATTTCGCAAAGCCTGCAGCTGTGAGCTGGTTCCAGCATGAGGAAAAGCCTTCCATCACCCCAATGCACAGGAAAGAGAAGGTAAGGTAACCCTTTCTGGGAGCTTTCAGATACGGTGCAGTCAGTGGAGAGCCCTAGACCAGCAAAATCTGCTCCTCTCCATGTGGATACTGATGTCAGTAAGGGCAGGATTGAGGACAGTAGAGCCATGCAGAGGCTGAGCTGCAGGAGGGCATGTGATGACCCCACATGAGCCATAGAAGCCTCCTTTGCTGCTCTGGCCCAGTTTTCTCTGGGAGAAGATCCCAACCCTTTCCATCCACTCTACCCATTCCTCATATCCCTGAAAGGAGGTGAATAAGCAGTGAAACCCACAGAGCAGCTGTGCCCTCTGGTTCCCAGTGTCTGTACGAGCATCTGCATCTCTCTGCACTGCAGAACAAGGGCCAGCCTGAACACGACATGGAAATACCCATGCAACCACCTGCTAAAAAACCAAACCATGGATATTACACATGGCACTGCAAATAAATAGCTCCAGGAAAAGAACAACAATAAACAACAACAAAACCAAGCTTGTGCTTGCAGGGACAGTAGACCAGTATATTTCAGCAATCATGGCAGGTATTTCCAACTAAAAATTGTATATTTGATGATTCCCAGACTTCAGCATTTGACAAGGGGCTGGTAAAGCCTCTTTAACAGTAAATCACCTCTCTTTCTATCTATAATCTTATTAGAAGTAGAAATGTCAAATGTTTAAATCCCACTCTATTGCTATAATAATGATTTAATTTTTAAAACATATAAAGTGAGGCCATAACTGTTCTGAAGGGAGATATCTGTCATCCCACTATATGTATATAATTTCCTGATGGCTTTAACCACATACTTTCGAACGGAAGAAGGATTAAAAACAATCCCACTTACAAGATTTTTGTGATTGGGAATGGATTCCAAAAAGGAAACCAACGTGATCACAGAAATGCAGAAATTTTTATTAAAAAAATCACACCCTCAACTTCACATTGGCGCAAAACAAATATGTAGGTGTTTATCTGTGACTTGCTCCATTCAGGCCCTCTCCCGCTGCCAGAAAAGCTCTGCTTCCAGCTGCACAATCAGTATTATCACTATGTGCTATTTTTGGCTCCTGAGTACATCTCAGCAGCGTCATCCTTCCCACGCCAGCCCTGGTACAAAGGACACAAACTCCTCTTTCCATCCCCTTGTCCTCCGCTGCCGCTCCCGTCTGTGGGGTGCCGCTGCTGCTCCCCACTGCAGAGGGGTCTCTGGACACTTTTCCCTGCTCCTTCTCATCTTCCCAGGCAGGAGCCTTTCCATCCAAAGCTTCACGTGGGAGGCTTCATGCTGGCATCCAGAGTACATGTCCCAAATATGTCCAGCCTCACTTTCTGACCCTAGTGCCAAAGAGGTGCAGGTAAGTAATCTTCTGATGGGTGATGGAGTCCCTGTGTCCAATGCCTGGAGCCTGTTACAAATGAGTTGGTTTTGGGGTCATACAATTTCCCAGCTGTCACTTTGGTAGGCTTCCAGCTCTTGTTGCAGTATGTTAACACTAGATTTCTGTCTGAGGGGACAGGGCTTTGTTTATTCTGACACTGTGTAGTTTTGATTTCCACAAGTTATTGAAGTCTAGTAAATATCGTAAAATCACTTCCTTTTTAAGGTCTTCATTGACTGGGTGCTATCCAACCAGCCAGTTGTTTAATGTTTTTCTCTTCTGATATGATGTCACAGCTAAGTGTTTGGAAAAGCTTGTATGGGCAACAGCTACACTTGGAGTTATAAATCTCTTCAAATACAAGGTTCAGTTTCCTCGGTTGTGCCACAGGAGAAGCCCTTATAGCTAAAGCTATAACCACCCCTAGCCTGAGCTGGGCTGTGTCTCCCTAACCCTGTTTCATTTTACACAGAATAATCAAATATTCATTATGTGAGCAAGTGTGTGTGTGGCTGTTGCAGAGTGATTGGGGTACTCACATGGTAGATGAGAGACCCTGTTCCCAGTGACCATTCCAATGAATATTTAAGTATTACATATTAAGTATTCATTGGAGCAAGGATAGGAGCAGACTTCTGCCACCCCCAAGGGAGCACCCAAACACCAGGCTGTAAAGTCATTCTTTCTTTCTTTAGCCCAATGAGTATTTAATTATTCAAGGCCAAACAAGACAGCTTCAGTGGCAGAGACTGAGATTCCCTGCTCCTGTGTGTGCACCATAACTGATGATGAGGGCGTGTATCTAAGACATGGCTTTGAATTTCTTTGGACTCAGAAAGAAGTGAAATCCAGGTTTCCCATAACCTGAATGGGGCTTCTAGCTTCTAAGCTGCTGAATGAAAACACACACTTTCCACAGTCATGAGACAGAGGTGATGTGACCCTAAGAACAGAGAAAGCATCCTTGTCAGTGATGAGATTGGTTTTATGAATCTCTCAGGAAAAGGAATCAAAGCTGAAGACATTCCTCACCCCATGGCAGCTCCTGCTGCTATGTAATATGCCTTTTGAGGTTATCCTGAATGTGATGTGTAAGAAAAGCTATTTATCCCCTTTACTCTGGAGTCTGGCACCCCCAGACTGTAGTCAATGGGACCTAATTCTGCTTGTGCAGTCCAAGGAGTGGGTGTGTGAAATGGTGAGCGTGGGGAAAGCATCCGACTAGAAAGTCAAGGCAGTGTCATTTGGATCTAAAAGAGGACAAAAGTAGATAATTGAGGAGTAGAAAGATCAAAGCAAGGAGAAAAATTGAAGTAAGGAGCAGGCAGTCACTGAGTGGGAGAATGACAAATAAGGGGGGAAAAGGGAAGTAGGGACAGTGACCAGAAGAAATATCTTTATCTAGCAGAGGAACAGAGGGAAGAGATGGAAAGGGCTAAAGAAGATTACTTCAGTCTTAAAAATAAAATATGAATAATCTCTACCTCTCACTTTGATCTTTGAAAAGTAGAAAAATTGCCATCTGCTTCCTACTGCCAGAGGACAGTGAGTGTCTGAACCAAGGTTCTTTGGATTCACTTTGGGCAACTGACTGTAGGAGCATTCCAATACAGAACAGTGACTTATTGCTGTTATTGCAGCTCCATTTCTTGTACTGTCAAAGAATCCACAGCATTATGATTCTGTTGTCAAAGACTAAATGTGGTTTCCAAGCAAAAACCAGAGCAACAGCATAATTGCTATATTGAAGTGCAAATAAATTACCATCTTGTACCCATCAGGAATGTCCAAACCCAAGTCAGCTGCATAGTCCCAGTTGTTGAAGTGTCAATGCTTCATTCTGAATGGAACTGCTTAGCTCAGAACATTTCAAAGGTGCTCCAAATTATACGGTTCATATATTTCATATCACATTTATGTTCTTCTAAGAGCAGCCCAAGGCTGTTGAGCAGCCACCTTCAGCAAATATCTGTTACAATTTAGAGAAATCCTTTCTGAACATTTTGCTCTCCATTGCTTTAACTGTCCTGTTCCCTGAGAAGACAGGTTTAGAGTACTGCAGGTCTATGGCAATGTAGGAATATCCTTTTTGTCTTGCTGCAAATATTACAGTGGTCTGTCCAAGCAGATGTGTTACATATCATGTCCTTCGAGGGGCACGGTAACACATCCACCAAAGATCAAACCTTCACCCAGATACCTCACCCTGTTTGAATGGCCACGTGTTTTGTGTTTTGATCAACTCTTTAGACAGATGACAGTAGCTATCCTCCTTCCATACTGAGAAAAAGGCCACCTGTGGACCAAGCTGTGGGGGAAAAGCGGAGAGCAGAGAGAAGGGTTCGATTTCGTGAGCCAGAAGAAGTCATTGAACATGGTATGCTCAAGTTATCAGGAATTTTGGCATGACCTTTCTAGCTTTTAACATCCACTCTGTCTGTCCATATCAGCTTCCCCTTCTGATGATGTGATTTGTGATTTTGAGCTCAGCATGGAGCAGAGGATGGATGATTTTTGCTCTGTGCTCTGCAGAACTGCATCTGGTCCATTTGCCTGCATGCCCTGGGAGGAGACAGGCTCCTGCCTCACCCTCAGCTGTTGTCACAGTGACCTCCCAAGTCAGTCCCCACCAGGATCATTGTAGAACATGGGCCTGTCTGGGCCCCAGGGCTTCCCCAGGAAAATGTTTCCACTCAGACCAAATTTAAACATAATTATGTGACTGTGGGCAACTAAGATGCCACAGAATACAATAGCAGAGGTCTGAGCCTAGCAGCCAGGATGTAATAACTTCTGCCCACAAAGGCACCCAAGACCTGACACAGCTAACAAAACCTCTGGTCTTTTCATTCATGAGCCAAAATATTGCAGGTAGGTCAACTGGGAGTGACCTTCAGCAGAGGTCTGGCACAAGGATCCAGTTTGCACTTCTGCATGTGCTGTATGCTATACCAAATAATAATTGGCTTACCTTCTGACTTTCCCAAACTCATCCAACCAAGAAAATTGTATTTATTGATAGAGAACTAAAATTATATGGGTTTGATATATTAGTTGGTCAAAACACAGGTGGCAGAATGGTATAGTTTCTGTCAGCCACCTGTTTGGACTGCTGCAGCTTCTGAAAATAAGCTTGGCATCCACTGATGTGTCTATAAACAGAACTCAGATTTGTTTTGCAATACATAGTTTGGGTTGCCTCCTGATGCAGGAAGGGGAAGCTGTTTCTTGATAAGCTTGTTGACATGGCCTGGGCTTTCCCACCAAAACTGAACTCCTGGAAAGGCTCAGTGAATCAGCCTTAAATTCCTCAGAGCCCATCTGACTGCTCAAGGGTTCTGATGGGAATGAATAATTCCTTCAGGTCTCTGCCAGAGTCCATGCCCCACATCAGCACTGGGAATCCTGCAGTCAGCCCAGCCCAGGGGACCAGGCTGGTCTCCCACTGCTCTGACTTCAGCAAAGCCATGCTGGAACTCGTGTAGGGAGCTGCAAGGATGGAGAAGGCTCTGACTCTTTTTCTTGGAGACATGAGAAATGTTCCAACCCATAATTAGCATTCTGTGTTGCAAACAGTCTGTGATTTAGATTATTTGCTGTTTGTCCACACAATATTACTCACACTAACACTGGTAAAATGAAGGTTTCTGGCACCACTGAAATTTTTCCATTCTATAGACTTTTCATCCTGGATTGTGTCTGGGCCTTGGCTGCTGAGCAGATGCATTTCCAGGATATTGTTGATGAAAGCTAGTGTGACAGTGCTTTCTTAGATTTCATTCTTTCATCCTGCTGGTCTAAATCCTTTCCTTTCTAGGAATTAGGTGGAATAGGGAGGGGTCTTATCAGAGCTGTTTCCTGACCTCCCTGCAACAGCAGCAATCCTGCCCCTGAATTCTCACACACGACAAGTTTTGCTCACTTTCCTGAAGTGCACCTGCATCTGCATGTTTGCATGTATTGGGTAGGTCCAGAGCCAAAAGTGGTGTAAGAGGTTGCCCAGCATCTCCAAGGTGACAGGCAGCTTCAGAGACACTGCTTGGTTCTGGCTTTTCTTGTTCAAACGCTGCCTAGAGACCCTTCCAGGCGAGTAAGAACATTTTCATTCTGTTTTCTAGTCATTTCCTGCTGTGACTACGTAGTGGGTAAGTTGAATTTTTCACATATAACTGTGAGCCATCCATAGCATTAACCTGAGTTTGCTTTTGCAGCTGGAGGGATGCACTGTGCAAATATACTCTCCATATACACAGTACTTTGTGTTGTCAGTGGTTGTTGCTTTTTCTTCTCAGCATAAGCAGCACAAGGTGCTGATGAGGTCTGGTGCAATTTTAAACAAGATGTCTAATAAGACAAATAGTGGAAACAAAAATTAAATCCCTGAAGCTATTTTTAATTTAAATATAATTAATATATTTTACGGCATTAGAATAGGTACAGGTTTCTCACTAAGATATGCAAGGAAAGCACCCCAAGCTAAACAATAGTTCTCCCTGCTGAGTTCCATATGAGGGGAAGAGACAATTCATTTATATTCTGACAGCAGGGTAGAAATAATAAAAATAATAGTTTTTCTCTGTTTTTTTGTTTGAGGCCTGCCAGCCTCACAGATCCCAAGCAAATGTGTGTATCTGGATATTCTGATGATTGTGATCATTTCTAGAGGCCCTGGGCAACATTCAGCCCCTGCTGTAAGCAGTGCAGTCAAGGGGACAGGGGTACTTATATGCAGGATATATGCACACTCAGACCTATAGTTTTGAGAGGCCAAAAAGCCTCTCAGGCAGATGTCCCCACATCCTTCAGCTATTGCTATTGTCCAGGAAGAGGGACTGTATGCTTATAAAAATGGAAGCATCATCTAGGGCTGTTATTGGGCTAGAAACAGGGTATTAAACAGCCAGAAAAAGGCCTGGTGGAAAAGCAACGATAAAATATTTTTCAGGGCGCCATGGAAATGTGTATCCAAGGCAGGAACTGAAACAAAATCTCCTGTATCCAGGTCCTGTGCTTTTCTCAGATCAGTTGCCATAAGACTGGGCGCTGGTCTGTGTTCTTCCAACAAGCAATTTAAGTAACAAATTTAAGCAATAAATTTCTAATTGTAATCTAGAAAAGCAAATTTGATTTTCAGCACCTAACTGTAGTGGTGGGCTGAAGCTGTTGTGAGTATAGCTCATCACAATTTTGCAGGTGGAATTACTCTTCTGCATGATTTTTTCTGTTCATGGATAGAACATATTTCATAACTGAGAAGATATAAGAAAACCCCAATTTTACATTTGAGATCACCCAGAAATTTCACATGGAAAGTAACTTTTAAAAAGTTGAAATGGGTTACAAGCCCTTCATATGAAAGGGTTGATGTGAAAAGCTGTTCAGCCTCCACGGGAAGGTTTCCCTGCTCCCATGAGTGCTCATCAGCCAAGCCCCACATTGGAAAAGGCAGGTGGGCACCCAGTCAAGAGCTGTAGCCTGTGGTGTGGGAAATCTCACAAGGGAAACACCAACTCCTGACTCACAAATCTCTGCAAAACCAGAAAGTGGGGAGCAATTCCCTGGCTAAACACCTTCATATCAACCCTTCATAGAATAATGCCAAATAAACAAATTTATAAAATCTGAAGTCTGCACATGGATAATTTGCAAACAGAAGGAAGGGCTAAATTCAAATGAATAAATTACTTGCTGCAAATAATTCACTCAGATCTATTATGGGACATTGATTTGGTTTCTGCTTAGCTATAAAATGACTGCCTATTAACATTTTACCTTTTCCCCATACACTTTTTGATACATTATTATGTGTTTCTGGCTTGGTTTTATGACTTTTACCTTCCTCTCTGTACATCTGTATGACAGTTTAATTGACTGGTGTGTATTCCAGGGCTCGGAGTGGAAGCTAATTTAAATATGTTACAGCTAATGTTGGCCCTTTACCCATAATAATACACTCCACATTTTTATCTCCTTATTGATTATGTGCATATGGCAGGAAAATAGCTGCACACTATGGGTTTTATTCAGGCATGAATTTGGCTTTATACTGCATGTTTAATACTCTAAGTGCTTTATGAAATAGTGCCGACTGTGCAATGGCCGTGCAGTCAGACAGAGCAGCCAGATCTGAATCAAACGGGATCCCCAAAGCCCAGGGATGGATACAGGCAGGCAAGGACTGGGACACAGCTGTCAGCAAGCTGAATGCAGCCCTCTGATTTCCACATGTGTGCTGTGCCCGACCTGTGGCACTTTAAACATATTTGAAGAATATTTTGAAGGCGAGGAAAATCTTTACAGTATCCTCCTGCTGAAGAGCAAGTGCAGAGGATGCTCTGGTGTAATTAGCACACACAGCACTCTCAGAGTGGTTCAAACCAACAGAGCTTTCTGAACATGCCTCTTGGTTAATGGCACCATGTTTGGGTCCCCTCCATAATTAGCAGCAGTCCCAAACAAGCTGACTTACCAGGAAAAAGGACAGAAATCCATAGCTTCTCTTTTTTATAGAGGATTTGTGAACATTAAATAATTAGACCAAGTAGCTTCATATCCTCCTAATATTCATCTTAGCATTTAGGGTAAAGGTATAAAAAATAATTGCTAGAGGGGAAGTTGAGATCATGCATTAACTATGCTAATCCTGTTCTTATTGTGTATAATTAAACTCTTTAAATGCTCCATTAGATGATATCTTTTATACTCACCACCCTCCATCAGAAGGTGTGACTCACTATCACTTAACTGATGCCTAAAGAAGTGCTCACCACCAGAGCCCTCTGTACCCTGCTGTTCCCAGAAAACTGGGACAAAGGCATCGGCAGGGGATCAAATTTGGGAAGTGTTTAAGATGGCACTAAAATAATGCTGCTTTCTTTTTTCTCCTCATCACCGTTCAGCAGATGACAGGGCATCATCTGGATTGCCTGTGCTCCTGTGGCTCTCGTTTTGTGCAGTGCTGATCCTTGCTGTGACTCTCTACTACACCAGCATGAAGCAAGATGTCAAAGTCCTGGAGGAATTTCAATCCCGACTTGTCATCTTCTTTCTTCATATAAGGCACGTTGCTCAGAGGTGCTGGACTTGGTTTATGAGGCAGTAGCAATGTCCTCTATCTACACTGCTAAGAAACATCAGTGCAAAGCTCCCACCAGTGCAAAGCTCCTACTGCAGCCACATGCAAGGAACACATGAGCATCCACCTCAAAGAGTGAGAAAATCACCCTGCTGTGCACCACCCAGCAAACACGTGCTCTCCTTTTTCCTTCTTTGCTGTTGTGTTTGGTTTTTTCTTCACATAAATGAACATTCATACTAATGCCTTGAGGTCCCACCAAACTCATCCTCCATCACCCTGAACAGCAAACAAGTATCTGGATTTGGTTACCCAGAGTTTATAACTGCTGATATGGGGAGCAAAAGCAGAGAGAGAGATACATGGATCTGTGCAGGCAGCAGCAAACTCGGGAGAGAAGTCTTGTGAGTCTCAGGTCAAGGCTTTAGATACCAAACCATCTTTCTCCTCAAATCTCCTAAGAATTATTCTGCAAAGATTAAAATAAAGCTGAGCTATTGCACAGACACTGCTCTGGTGGCCAAAGGCTTGGCAAGCTGCTCTATTTATATACCTGAAATGATTATTAGTAAAATCCCAGAAAATGGCTTTCTTGTTTCCCTTCATGCTTTTTTTTCCTCCATGGGTAAAAGCTGGTTCTTAATGCTTCACTTGACTCCCAGGTGTGAAAAAGAACAACGAAACTCATTTAAACAGAAAATGGTTTATTTGCCTAACATAATAAATAGCAGCAATGAAACCCAGGTTAATCATCAAATCAGTAGTTTAATCCTCTGGGTTTGATTCAGTCCATAAACCCCACAGGCTGACATGAAAGATTTATGATAGTGCTTGTATTCAGACAGAGATTATGCCTGGGTGTTCAAGGCCTTATATCATGATAATATGGACTGCTTATGAAGGTGTTGGATGCATAGTTCCTTTATCACTCCACTGTCCCACCATACTCTGCATTTCTCTGAAAGGAATCCTTTTAATGGAGATCATGTGAAATGGTGCTCTGGGCATCTGAGAGGAAAATGACTGCAAGTTCATGAGCTCCAAAGAACCAGCACAAGCAGATTTTAGACCTTAGATTCTGCTCAGCTGGCACCTGATGTGCGCTTGGGGTTATTTTGTATGGTAAGATTAACAGAAGAACCTATAAGAGATGAAGTAAAAGGGGAAAAAAAGGGGGGTGGAAAACATTTCAGAGAAGATGAAAATATGTCTGCAAGACATTGGCTTATATTCCCTCTGCCATTGCAACCATCAAACAGAAAAAAATGGTGCTTTATTTCTAGTTATATTTTTAAAAGAGGGCCATACATCTGGCCCAGAAACCTTCTCCCAAGCAGCCCAAGGACTTTAACCAGGAGAGGATAAAGAGAAACATAAGAGGCAACCTTCTCTAAGGAGAAGAGGGGGCAGCAGACTGATTGAGAGTAAGTCAGAAAAATTGCAGCCCAAGACAGAAAGAAGTGCCTTCAGTGGCTACTCTCATGCCTCTCTTAAGCTGTCAAAGCCACAGGCATGGCACTGGACACAAGTGGCCTGGGATGCAGAGATTGCTCTGGCCTGGGAAGCAGAGATTGCTCTGGCCTGGGAAGCAGAGATTGCTCTGGCCTGGGAAGCAGAGGGTGCTGCAGGAGCAGTGTTTGGCTCAGGGGCTGTGTTCTCATCACTCAGGTACCCCAGCTCAGAGGGTAAGTCCCACCACTGTTTCCCTCCCTTCTACCCTGTCTCAGCCCTGCTGTTTAGGTAATAAAGAAGAAAGGTTTTAAACCTGTGTGCTGGTGAATCTCTGGGGAAAAGGTTTAGATTGGTACCTGCATGGGGCAAGAGGGTCATTTTGACTTCTCATATTTTTTATGTTTGTGATCTTTTTAACGTTTAGGTTGAAACTCTTTCACAAATCAGTGGTGTTTCTTTTTGGCTCTGGGCTGACTCCTCTTAGGACTGTGACAGAAAATGTGGAGGTGGTTTGAAGGCCATATATGTGCTCACCTTCCTGCACAGCTCCCCAGGAGATGGACAGAGGGCCACCTTTCCACTGAGCCTGCTTTAAATGGAAAATGTCCACATTCCTCTTCTTGGGGCCAAATTTATTGGTGTGAGTGAGAACTGCTATCTCATCTGGGCTGTCAGGGATATTTAGCAGAGGAACAGCTATTTTTGGCTTTTGTGTTGGCTCTGTTTGGGACTGTTTTGGGCATGGGAAAAGGCTGCACTTGAGTTATCTTGAGACCACTGTTGAGGTCTCACCATGGCTTTACAAGGTCTTTCGGGTCAGGATTGTTTACTGTGGTCAGTCAGATACTTGGCAGACAGCAGAAAGCCAAATTAAATTTGCCTCAAAGCCAGCAGGTTTGAAATAAATAAAAGCTAAAACCTGTTCTGTCAGAGCAGTGGCATCTTGAAGGTGAAGAAGCTGAAGCTAAGAAAGCCATTGCACGTGGGAGTGAATGAAGTAGGTCAATAACATGACTGGGAATAGGAGAAAAAAATTCCATCTTCTGGGCCTACATTTCTATACTGCCTCACAACTTCACTGTGGATTTACCTGTTTTATTTCCTTCTCATACTGAAGCTCTTTTTCCATTCATCCATCCTGCTTAAACACACACAAGCCCTTGTCCCTCTCTGCCCCTTCATTCTTAAGCCATCGCAGCTTTATCCTCACCACTGTGAGCTGGATGTGATTTCTCCTTTTTCTTGTTCAATGGTGTTTTTTCTGGGTGTGACACCTTTATGAGTTTGGATCTCTAAAGTTACATAAAATCATCTGTGTTGGGTAATAATCCCCTTGCTGGCTGTGCTGAGCAATATTTGCCTTCAGTAAACTCTTGAGAATTTCTTAATAGAGGTAAAAAGGAGAGAGAGTACATAATTTATTTCAAACAACGGAGATGCTCACCTGAATTCACACTGGAGCCAGCTTGGTGAAATGCTTCAGAAGTCAAAAGTCCTGCAGACAACCAGCTCTGGGCGATTGTATAATGAAGCTTGGAAATGGCCGTGTTTTAGATATAAAGGACTGCAAGAGGGAGGGATGTAGGACAGGACCCTTGGTGCAGTTTTTGAAGCAGACAGTGGGCAGGAGGCATTCCCAGGAGCAGGGTCTGGGGTGGCAGGAGACAAAGGGCCAGGGGAGAGTAGCAGGTCTGTGCATGATAATGGACTAATGGCAGTCCCTAAGGGTAGAAGTGCTGCTTAAATTCCCTTATGCAGTGAGTATGCAACTAACACACAGCAGAAATAAGCAGACCACAACAGAAGGGTAGGTGTTGTTTTGACAGTGTTCAGCACATTCCTGCAGTGTGAACGGATGGAGGGCAGCTGCCAACACCCTCTTCAGGCACATCAACAGCACCTGATTGCAGCAGCAGGCATCTCCATACCCATATGATTAGAGAAGATGGAAAAAGACATAGGGAAATGGCACGGGATGGTTTTGCATTAACCTTTTGATGCACTCAGCATTAGCACCAGTAAAAGGCAGCCCCAAAGGCTTCTTCGAGTCCCCATCCTTCCCTTCATCTCTCCAACCCTGAGAGTCTGGAAATGAGCCCATAGCAGCAATTGTAATTGTCGTTTCTGCCTTTTGTCACTTTAAAGCAAGCAGAAGAGCTGGCAGCTTGTGAGTATAAAAAGGGTGTTACCAGCTGTCCTCGAGGACAGCTCAGGAACCTATAAGATAAATAATGTGGACTTGTTTCTTATTAATTCCTTGCTCCAAGATAGGTGTTGGGAACCTTTAGGCCCAGCTCTGAAGAGGAAGACTGATGATGCTACATGAAGAAAATCAACCAGTTGGCATTTAGAAAATTGGCCTATCTGTGCAAACTGTGGTTTCCCCTTACATTTGGTAACAAGCTGCCTTTTGGCTGCATGTTGACACAGGATCATTTTTTCCTGTCTCCAATGGCATTAGGGTGAGCTGCTGGAAGAGGACACCAAAAGGGCTCAAGGAGTTGAGGATGGTTGGGCATACCTTTAACTATAGAAGCTGTGGCACAGAGAGGCTGGGAAATCAGTACAAAGACTCTACCACTGACTTTGAGAACACTTTTTTTATATTACATTGTAACATTTTAAAACTCACCTTCAAATAACAGGCACAGAAACATTGACTTTTCAAATAATTTATTTTTATATTTCACCAAATCATAAAAAGCCGATGCACTGTTCAGCAAAAAGCATCCATATATAAAACACATTAACTCATTATCAGTAATGCTGGAGTGTACCACGTACACTGAACCCAGACCAGCTCCTACTAAAGCCAGAGGAAACTCAGTGGCTCCACTAGCAGAAGGATTGGACTCAGCATTTTTCTTTGCTGGGTGTTTACAAAGGGCTGTATTAAAATGCTAGTAAAAAGCTTCCCTTTTGAGACTGTATCAAAACAATAGTAAACCTGACTCCCTTTATGGTTTTGTCAAACACATGCAATTAAAGCTCAAAATCAGCAGTCATTACACTGCAAAAGACCATACAAATCAACAGAGATAATATTCAAAACAGACCAGGCTCTACCTTCAGCTCCTGTGGACTGGCATGGCTGCTCACAGGATAATCTATGTACACTGGTGAGGGATCTGCTCCTCAGCTGCTTTCAGTGGTTAAACAAATTATGAAAAAGAGTTCCATTTGCTCCTCAAATACCTGTTGCAGGAACCTCTTTAGCAGCATAAAAAAAAAAAAAGTAAATAATCTAGCCCCTTATAAAGCTTTTCCCAGGTAGCTATAAGAGACAATAGCTCATGAATACATACATGAGAGGGCATATATTTCAGAGAGGCTGAAATGTTTTCAGGCTCTGCACTGACTTACAAGCAAGAAAGATTTGCTTCAGATCTTTGCAGGTGGTACCACATAAAAGCACTAAACCTTTTAAAACTATGGGTGCTGATGAGCTGCACTCACAAATGCCAAGTCTACAGAGATTGGGAAGTCTTTCCTTCTCCGTGCAATTCACGAGCTGCACTGCACAAAGGGCCAGTGTAGGATATCTGGATCTGCTTTCCTCCAAATCTGGTGGCAATGTCAGCACCTTTACACCAGATACCTGCACAGCTGGCACAGCTGGCTCTCTCCAGAAGCTGCTTTAAGGTCAGCCCATGCTTCAAGAGGATGCTCTGCAGTTTGTGAGGCCACACGAGCAGGCCAAGCAAAGGCTGAAATTGGTGTCAATTCCACTCCTTCACATCACAGCCCAAAAGCTGAAATCCCTCACAGGAAATGCACTAACTCCTCATTAACTATTTCTGTTCAGATTGATGCCACTGTCCTGCACACCTCAGCTGCCCTTGTCTCTTTTAGGAAAAGATGTGAGAAATAAGACCTAATCAGCTTGATACCAATAAAATCCTCTCTGAAGTTTGCAGGAATGTTTTTTGAAGATTAAAGGATGCACAGGGAGGAAACTCCAGTGGAACTGCTGGGGTGTTTTGTTATTTTTGTTTTGTTTTACAGACCTTCAAAAACCTCTCTGGAGTATACTTCAGATCACACTATATTGATTTATCGGCTGTGTAGCTAGGGCTGTTTTAATTAGAATGTGTTTGACCAGAATTGATCTGATACCATCAGTCTGC